GGTGCCGGATAAGAGGGAAGAGGGATAGGCATAAAAAGGGAGGCAGAACAACTCGCAGACATTAGCATTCTGCCCTGCAAGCGGTCAGCTACATCTAGACGAGTGGTGGTTCAGCACGGCCTCATTCGACGAGGATCGCGTGTTGTGAAAAAGCTGCAACTCGCGGTGCTGACCGGCCTTGCAGCAACGTGTCGGCGATGCGCTCGTTGATAGGTGTTTAGAAGGCGGCTGGAAGATGGATGAATGACAGTAATGTAACCACTGGTTTTCTTTGCGTAAGGATGTGCATCGTCTTGTCCGTATGACCACTGATAACTTCCTCATATCATCTTTCGTTATCTCTGAACATTTTTGAGGCAATCTCCTCCTGTCCCCTCCTCCTATTGAGAGGAAAAATGTCAAAGAGCGTCAAAGTGCGCAAATTAGTCGTCGCAAACATCAAATCCCACATTTCGTCGTATGGTTAGTTCAACGATGCTGTCCGCCGGTTTAACGATCTGCGTAGTCTGCGGCAGGCGCTGCAGAGCCGGCCGTAATTTCGATGGGCTCGCGGATGCCGTCAGTCGATCCGTCTGATTTATTCGCTGATCTGGCGATCGTCGCTCGACGAGGCGGACGAGCGAGCGCAAAGAGGTACCATGCCCTGACGTCAGACGCAGTGCCCAGTTCTGCGGATCATCGCGGCGACACGCGGCATGAGACTAGTCAAAAATTTCCACTGCAGCCTCACGTCTTTGAGGAAAATCGATCGACTGCGATCAGTGCCTCGCCTCGAGTCTTGCCTCATACCCAGTCGGCCTGAACCACTGTCTTTGTTTTGTGCAATCTTGCGAAAGTGCAAGATTTACGAACAGTTCGCTGACTCATTCCGTCGTTCCGGTGTCACCAGCGTTTTTCGCGCCGTCTCCTACCATATAGTAAGGTAAGTGAGAAAGCACTGTTCTTTCACACCGCTGTTGTTTCGGGTGGCTTCGATTCTGCGCTCACGGTCCAGCACGGTGGCACGCATATTCATCTCTGGTCTTAATCTTCTGTTTCCTATGTTCTGGTCACCGGTCTCCATGTTTGTGAGAGACCTCGTAGCAGACGCCCATTGTTCGACAAATACCGACTATTACTTCGTATGATATATTTATACCTGACAATGGTGGTGCAATCGATGAGTTGGCGAAGCGATTGGACAATTACAGGTTTAATATAAACCTGTTTGACGTCTTGAATCATAATTCGTCAAATCTGTTATGGTTCCAACAGGTGGTCTAGAATCGAACATGTGAAATATTTTATGAAGGAACTGTGTGACTTCATCGTCACTGGTAGCAGGTGGTCAACGTCACACTAGAGGAACCCAAGGAGCCGCAATCGCTAGATACTGTGCCCTTTGAACTGTTTGGTTATCAAGGGGTCTGGTCAAATAGAACTCGCCCTCTTCTTCACCCGCCTGTCCAGCGGTCCAACAGTCAGTTAAAATATCTTCCAATCCGCAATTTGTAACTTTCATAGCGCGCTGACGCATTCTTCAGAGGCGGATATGCACTTCAAATATCCCGTTGTACGGGATGTCATTATTTAATATTGCGTACGAACTCATCAGTCATCCTTGACCCAAACATCTGCTCGCCACAATTTTAGTTTCTATAATACACATTTCGTATAACCATAGTTTAATTAATTCATTACCTGGCTAAGAGTCAGGCAATTGTCGTCCAAATATGCTGTTTTGAAAAGTGCTTGCCATATTTTTTTGATCAAGATCCAAAATGCAATCTTTTTCCAAACTGGCGATCCAAGTTAATCTGTTCGATTAACTCCATTGAAACGAGCTGAATAACTGAAACAGAACAAATTTCAGTAATCTTTTGCTTAGACAAAATGTAACCTATAACGCGACCCTCAGAATCTGCCTTCGACCATCATTTGGGAGCCACTGTTTGGAATATGAATGCATGAACGTAGAATCTGGTTCGCGGCTTTGACCCAAACTTTTGCACTCTAAATGGCGGACAGGCAGTCAAAAAACGATTTTTCTTGCTGATTTCATTAATCGTCACCTCTTACCCTCATGATTTAACCTCCATTCAAAAAACGGACACGATTTCATTATGTGTTTCGCGTATAACGACTATGAATTAGGATTCGCAAGTCAGAGCAACTTCACAAGTACTTAACAAGATTTCAATGAGCACTGCACAACTCGTTCACAGTTTTGCATTGTGTCAAAACATTTAAGCAGTCTAAATCTTCATGGCCTTTAAACACTTGCTGTGCAAGATTAATACTGCATAATTTTCGTGGGTACAGCAATACCTTTTCCGTAACCAGTGGTCTGCACTGCTTGGCCCATCTCAACACATTTCGCTGGTTACAGCAATACCTTAATCGCTATTCTTTATATATGTTCATAAAACAATCCGAAATACCCATGGCACTACAGCTGCTTAAGCATTACGGCTATGGCCTGCATTAATGCCTTCCTTTTCCGCACTGGCAGGAAAATAGACGCAAGGAAGCTGGGTAATACGTCTTTGAATCCCGCTTCGCTGATGGCTTATTGCAGTCTAGCGAATGAATTGATATTTTTGTCTCTTGCAAAAACAAGAAAAAAAAATACCTGCTTCTGAAATGCATCTAGTAATGAACAAACGAATAAAGGTTTGATCTAGGCAGCAAATCATACGAAATGCATATATCATTTCTTGGGCTACTTGGGTCGCTTGGACCGACCGGAAATCGGCGAAGGACTCTAGCTAACCGCAACATGTCTGTCATTTCTTGCGATTTTGAGTCCTCTCCTCCTCCATCACTGCAGAAGCATGGAAATCAAGAAGATTTGGACTGCATAGGTACTTCTAGAGCAACCAAAGGCAGTAGAGAGGCGCCATATATCTTGAAGCCAGGTATTGAACGGGTTAAAATTATTATAGCTGTTAAGCGCTAAGTTCTAATAACAGACGATGGATTTGAATCTTTTGAATTAGATTTCACAGTGATTTACCAATTTCCAAGGTACAAGTGTTTTAAAATGGGAAAGAAACTCTGCATACCTCGGTCACAACCGGGTCGCTAGTGAATAGCATTGGAGTTTGGAAAGCCATATGCAATCGGTTTACGAGCGTAGGGCTATTCGTTTTACAGTACTTTACCCTGTTGTATTGACAGGTAATTTGGTGTGAGCCGCATTTCATCAAAGGACACCAAAATTGGATTTCTGACATTATTAACTGCTTAGTTCTGAATGCTTCACAATAGCCTATTAATGTATGAATGATGCGGCTGACTCACGAAATAAAACAATGGCACCTCATAATAGCCATACCAAATTTATATAGGAACCTATGCCCACGCAAGAAGCGCGTAAAGAGCACGGACCATTGGACTCGTTGCGGGTAAGTGAGCCATACAGGCACAGAATAGGCAATAGGTAATAAAGTATATGTCATGAATATCAAGGCAGTTTGGTGGTATGTTTGAGATGCCGGCATATTTGAAGCATGTTCTGTAGTGACTGAATGACGTTGCCTTATGACGCTAAGATATTGTTCTTTCAGCACAGACAAAAAGTTCGCTTTTCGACTTGTCATTGTTATGAGTGACTAATGGGTGCAAGTCAACGCTCCTCAAGTATTCTTTGTTCTCCGGGTATTGCTTTCACTGCTGACCAAGCAGTTTGACCATCTCTCGTCCCACCGCCCAGCTAGTATGCAATCCTTGACCTCTGGTCTTTCAGGCAAGTCACGTGACAGGATCATCTATCCTTGGCGTCTTAGAAGGCAGAAAACACATCTGTTAATCCGGACCGATATCGAATTTGCGCTCTTGGAATGTGATTGCTGAAGCACATTTTGTACACTCCTCCTCTATCGCTCTTTAAATGAGGATCAGTTTGTTCTCATTGACGTCAGTAGTAGACCACGGAGGTCTTTGCCGAAGATCATTGCGGGTGGGACGATTGAATCGAACAGCTCTTTCTTTGTCCGATTGAACAGCTCATTGTACAGTAGTAGATTTAATGCTGTTAAATCTGGTTAATGCCAATTTTCTTGTTCTGCTGATTTTCCGATCTTAGGAGTTCATGCGGTCCGCCTTAGATCCGGCTATACATAACTGATGACTTCTACATAGGGGAGAAATATCTTATGTAGCTTATCCGCCACCAATGACTTGCCTGAAGGGAAATGAAAACTTTGTCTTCCGTACACATTTATTATTTTTAGCACAGAGGACCCAGTGTTCGGCAAAAGTTACCTTCTTTAAACTACGAGTCATCAACAGCTTTGTGGCCGTTGCTACACAGAGACTTCTGCTTTATTTACTTGTAGTAGTAGTACTCATACGTCTTGCTTCAACAAGAGTAAGAGCGAGTTATCCAGTCGCTATTCAAACCTACGATCACTCGTTTGCGAGTCTGATGTTCAACGTAATGTGTCGGTTGAATACGTCACAACGTAACCTCACACAATTCACCAAACGACCCTATTAAAATACAGGGTTATTATACATGAGTCACAACAATGGAAGAAATTGTATATGAACTAGTCACAACACCCAATGTGAATGGGTACAATCAATTTTAGAGTTCCGGCTTTTCATAGAAAAGCCAACCAGTTTCGTTGACCGCTTATCCATCCACGTCGCGGAGGCAAATGCGTCAGTCAGTGTCTGCAAACTTCCCCATCCCGTGGCAGCGTTTCAGCTTTGAGCAAAACAACGGGAATCTGAAGCAGAGACTGCAGAGACACTTGCCCTGTCAATCTTGGCATTTCCCGGGGTCAGTCAAACAAATAGGGGCTGCTTCATCCTCCTTTCAGGAAGCATTCATTAGACTTTAAACAGCTACTTCAAAGGTCTCTTCCAGTCGCTTGGGTCCTCAGCCAATTGGGAGGCTTTACGAGAATGATTTCCACATGATGAAATGCCATGACTTCTTTATAATTGAGCCCATTTGTTCTTGGTCTGCTTTCTGGCCATTTTATTCACGAGTGATCATAACTTTCGAGAACTTTGCATCTTAAGAAACCTCTCGTCTATTCAATAAATTTTCATATTTGACAAATGAATATGTTTATTAACGATTTCTTTGCAAAATATGAAGTTCTTGAGCATGGCCCTGATCGATTCTGTTAGCAAAAAAATTGAGTGTTAAGCTGTAGTTTTTCGATCATGAAGTCGAATGACGTACGAATGAGGGATATTCATGCTTGTGCACTGAAAAGATGGAATAATCTTTCCTACCAACTAACAAAAGATGGCAGTTGATGCTGAACGAATTTATTCTGACTGTAAGCTTGACGAAACGGTTTGAAGGTATGACTGAAGCGGATCTAAAAGCTTAAATTAGCAGGCATGGAAAGCACGCTTTCTAATTTTATATATTATAGCTTCTTCAAGGAGAGAATATTAATATTCATGCGGTTAGCATCGTGTTCCTGTTTATTACTGTCATTCGAACGAGGGATATAGATCATTCTGCTAACTGCTTTACCACAGCAGTATCGGTTAAGAACAAAGCAGCCCTTGGAATCTACTTTGTTCGGATGGGTCTGAATGGCATAGCGCCAGCCACGTGGATAAAATGCTCTACTTTTATGGGTCCACGATGTACTACATTAGGGATACACACCTTCAATACCCTTATTTAGTTATTTCGTCTAGTGTTTTCATACAAGCTGTTATACTAATTTTCTCATGTGCTTACCCATGCCATAGTTTGTGTAAGCTGTACGTGACATAATGCAAAATGCCATCGTTCAGAGGTTTAAAAATTACGTACATTTACATAGTTTGTGTTATTCTCTTGACGTT